CTGATCTCTGGCTAATTTGGTTTTTCAAAAAAGTTTGCGAATCAGATTAGAATGTCTGGATGAACTGATCTGAGATCGCTGCGTGTGTTGTGAAGGACAGATCTATCCATCCCTGAAATCATGATCAGCAATGCAACGATTGGCTGACGGCACAGCAGCGTAATGACATCATCTGATTAATATTCAATTATCCATGTGAGCAAATTAGCAGTAAAAATTTATTCTATTTTTCAATAGCAATTTATTCTAACCTATATATATATACTATTTTCCCAAGTGTATATAACTACTACTGTAAGAAAGTATCAGCATTTGGTATATACTTTCAGTATTTTCTTTGCATGAACTGAGCCGATCTAATCCTGTTTATATGAATTGGGCCTGCTGCCGAGCAGGGGTCCGTTCTTCGTACGTGGATTACTCGATTAGCTGGATTTGGATATTGACGATTTGACATGATCCAGGATCGTTTCGTTCTTCAAAGCTGATCCGAGAGTTGTTGTCATGGCAACAGTTCTGCTAGCTCAAACCTGATCGGGAGCAGGTTCAATTCATATAAACAGGATTAGATCGGCTCAGTTCAAGCAAAGATAATACAGAAAGTATGCTCCGAATTCTGATATTTTCTTACAGTAGTAGTTATATACACTTGGGAAAATGGTACATATTTTTTAACTATATATATAAAGTTATAGTCATTATTAATAAAACGTATGCAATCTGCACCCTCGAAATGAAAGTACAAAGACAAAACTTATTGATATGAACTTTTTAGATCGCTTTAGTACAAATTGTGTATAATAGAAATGCACAATATGTGACTTTTTTAAAGCGATAATACATTTATGCAGTCATAAACATGTTTTGTTAATATGCCGGGTATTTGATGCTTCACAAAAGTTGCAGACGCCTTTACCAATATCAAAATGCTTTTGTAAACAACCAGTTATTCTTTACACCTTTTAAAAAACGGCTACTATTATAAAGAAAATCTTTTCTAAATGTAGAACTAAATACACTGATTTGCATTGTAATACATGATGAATACTCTCGACACATGAAACTGTAAAGCCTGCAGCTCACAGCAAATGTGGAAAGTTCTTGCGTGTCATATTAAACAAACCGTTTACTGCTAATTTGATGTAATTTTGCTCACATGGATAATTGAATATTAATCAGATGATGTCATTACGCTGCTGTGCCGTCAGCCAATCGCTGCATTGCTGATCATGATTTGGAGGATGGATAGATCTGTCCTTTACAACACACGCAGCGATCTCAGATCAGTTTATCCAGACATTCTAATCTGATTCGCGAACTTGTTTGAAGAACCAAATTAGCGAGAGATCAGTTATCAAGATTAAAAGATCCAGGATCTGCCAAATAATCTCAGATCATTTAAGCGAGTTACGAAGAACGGACCCCAGGTTTGAACTACCAGAACTGTTGCTATGACAACAACTCTCAGATCAGCTTTGAAGAACGAAACGATCCTGGATCATGTCAAATCGTCAACATCCAAATCCAGCTAACTGAGTAATCCACGTACATGAACAGACCCCAGGGAGGTCAGGCTGTTCGGTTGTGTTGGGTAATTATGCCCCAGTGAACCAAATGTATATATGTAATTCAATAACATCTCATTTATTAATCAAACTTATTAAGTTGTCCAGTGTTTTGAGGGATATTCAATGCTTCTCAATGACATTAAATAGATAAATGACATTAAACAATTAATTATATTAAAGAAATGGAAACAGGTTTGTTCTCCTATTAATGGATGAGTAAGACTGCACATATTTGTTGTTTTACTGTTTAACTCCCATGTGCAAGGAAGTCTATCATGAAATACAAACTATACATGTATTTTTAGACTCCTACACTGCTAAAAATGCTTTTCTTGATTCGATTTTTGTCTTGTTTCTAGTCCAGATATCTAAAAATGCCTAAATCAAGAAGCATTTTCTAGACAAGCAAAACATATTGTCTTGTTTTGAGAAATAATATGCCAATATTAAGTGAGTTTTTCCTTAAAACAAGCAAAATAATAAATAATACTAATAAATAATCTGCCAATGGGGTCAGCAAAATAATCTTACGTCAAAAGAAAAAACTATGCATTATCAGATATTCTCAGGTATATCAGACACTAGTTGTTACTTTGCTGTGTATTTGCTGGAGGGGATTTCTACGCCTGTTCAAGGCTGGAATACTGTCTAAAAGGCTGGAGCAGGGAGACCAGCAGCGCGCTTAAACTGACGTCTGTATACTGAATGTGTTAGGCCAGGGGTGTCCACACTCTGTCCTGGAGAGTTTATCACTTGCTTCAACACACCTGCCAGGACATTTCTAACATACCTAAGAGCTTGATCAGCTGCTTCAGGTGTGTTTGATTACGGTTGGAGGTAAACTCTCCAGGACACCGGCCCTCCAGGACTGAGTTTGGACACCCATGGACTAGACCATAGGTGCATTCTTAAATCTGTCTTAAAGCGGTGCATGCTGGTTAGAAATCTTGTCCGGATTGATGCTGCGCCGACGCCACGTGACTGTCACATGTGGCATCAAAGTACCGCGACAGCGCTCCGAGATCAGACGGCAAACTCAGACCGTGCAGCTTCTGAAGAGCGACTGCAGGAGCTCTGATGACGACACCGATATTACACGATTGGCCGAGTTCACCACATGACAACAAACACGTGTATTTCGGGTTTATAATTGGACAAATTCCGATTCAAAAGTTTCAAAACAAACAATTCACTTTTCACACCCTCTCTATCCTGTACACATCTTGCTTATTAAAAGACTACAAATATTTTACTGCAGTGTCATCTTTTGTTAAATAATCTGGTTATAAAGGTTAGCTTGTTTGCACAGGTTTATTTTTTAACTTTTTATACAGACTATTTACTGCATTCATCTCCATGAACGATTTAAATGATATATTTTAGTGTATATTTTAGTGAATAACCTAAATAAGTCTTACAGACTTGAAATAAGAAAATCATCATCATTGATCCTGCCCCCCTAAAGCTCTCTTAACAAATTAAAGTAAAGAACTATTTTATTAAATAATTATAAAATGGTTTTATTATTATAATATAAATATATATTTTATTTCCTGTCTAGCAGTTTAAAGGCAACCTGCTCTTTCTGGGAAACTTCTACATAGCTCACTTATTTTACCTTTTGCTTTTCAACACAATCTTTTTGGATTAAAATACTTTTTTGAAACTTCATTCATCATCCAAAATAATCTCATTTATTAAGACCTAATCAAAACACCATGTTTTGCTTTTTACATTGGACATTTTTATATCTATAAATGTACATATATGTAAACCATTTTTTAGCAGATTCAAACAAGAAGTATTAGCCTAAAGATTGATGTTTAACTCCTAGTATGTATGCTTATTGCTTTGTATTTAATAGAACTGTTCGTTTTTATGTTTATATTAACCTCTCATTTCCTCTTATTTCTCTCATGCATTTGTTATATATTTTATTCATAATTCTCTCTTATTGTTTAAAAAGGAACTACAGTTTGTAGAGACTGTATTCTGTTTTATTTGTAAATGTTTTGTTGTTATAAATAATAATAACAAAAAAATATGATAACGCCATGTGATCGGTCATCATGACTGCAGCAACTTTGAGTCCCGAAGCTGTCCGTCTTGACGGCTCCGTTTTTAACTCCGCCCCCGCCTGCGCTCGGCTAATCTCGTTGATCACCGGCTGCAGCTGAGCTTCATGTCGAACGCACCTCATGTCTTAGGCCCTGCATTCTCAATGATGAATAAAGGATTTTGTTTATGTTTTATTCTTCTTCTTTCATTGGATTTGTTTTATTAATCAAAGTATATTTAATTAGTTTTCGTCACATGAGTGGACATGGGCTTTATTTGCAGAACCCTTCCACAATGTGTGTTAAAGTACGAATCTGATTTACTCCTTGATTAACATTACTAAGGTCCAAAACAAAACTCTAGCCATGAAATACAGCCATGACAGTATTCTGTTTTTTTTTTTATTTAATTAGGGTATTAAATAAAGGCATCCAGTACAAGATGAGGGCAAACTCGAGGCCTTGTAATTCCCTGCCTGTAAGCACCCTCCAGATATATCATACGAGCAAACACACACACACACACACACACACACACACATTTAACGCTCGAGTGTTTTCCTCTAATAATGTATACACAGCTCCCTGTTCAGCTCAGAGCTGATTTTAAACGGCTGTTGTTGTTTTTAATGTAGTTTATTTTGTCAGACACCTCAGGCGACAGCAGTTTGTAGTAATGTGCTTCATAAATAAACATGGCTGACGGATTGTCAGTTTGTTCTGCTCATTGACTGTCTCTCTCACTCACTTTCTGTCTGTCTGTCTCCGGTTCTCCTCTCGTCATCTGCCGGTTCGCGGGAGAAAATCAACACACGCTGTTCGGTAAACCTGCCGCTCCAACAACCGAGACTCAATTGACCGAAACAGCGCGCGCTCAACAGGTGCGGCTGCGCGTGTGCAATTATGGAGCTCACCTGACATGGCGGCGCTCGCAGACTCCGCCCACAGCGAGTATAATAATAATTAAAGCCTCATTCTACAGAGATCTGCACATTTTGTTTGGCAGAATGTTTGAAAATGGTGTTAATTTTTACCAAACATTTAAAATTAGACCGTGTTATTTAATTACATGTTTACTGTATTAAAAAAGCTTCGGTAAATTAATTTAAATATCACATGCGAAATTGTTTGCTCACTATTTTGGCAATATTTAAAGGTACATATTATTACTTATGCAATATTTATAGCTCTATTATCCACGTGCTGCTCTGAGGTACTATTCAACGCTGAGGAGAAGCGGTGATTTGTGGTAAAGCGCTGCCATCTAGTGGCGGACAGAGAGAAGCGCAGCGGCCGAGTATTTACAAAAACAAACCTGCTAAAAATAGTGAAAATCATACATTTTAAATCGACAAATTCCATCTCTGAGCTCACAATGATTTACTAATTTTTAATAAATCATAAACCGGCTAATAAACAACAATGAGCTGTGGAGAAATGAGCTGTAGATGCAAACCAATGAAACTGAGCAGCAGTTCACGACCAATGGAAAATCAGTCTGATTTCTTCTGAATAATTAAAAACTATATGCAAACCAACCCAAAAGCGGACAGAGGAGTTCTGGAGAGTCATCTGCCCATGAGACTTTCTGAGAATTGGGAGTTTAACAGAACAGGAGGAGAGCGAGGGTTCAGGTTTTGAGCTCAGGCAACATTTGTAAAAGCTCTACCCAAAACCAAAGCAGCGGCTCACGGCTCTGCAAGCATCAGTGGACAACAGCAGAGCCCTGATATGACAGATGCAGGTTTGAGTCTCTCTGTAGATGACCTTCTACTGGTTTAACTGGAATAAACAGACAAAATTAGCAAAAATCAGTTGAGTGTGTCCGTGGTCTGAACATCAGCCTGAGATATGAAGCAGATAAGGTTTAACATGATGCAAGAGAGCATCAGCAGCTCAGTGCTGTGAACAGCAGCTCATGATTGGGGAATTCACAGCTTTGCTTCCTCCTTTACATGATGTTTACCTGGAATAAAATAGACAAAATGACCAGAGATCAATAGTGTGAGTGCTCCAGTGGCTCAGCGGCCTGAACATCAGCATATAAGCTGGACGTTCCTGGTTTGAGTCTCTCCTTACATGAAATCTGACTGTACCTGGAATAGAAAAGGCAGGATGACCCAAAACAGCAGAAAGTGTGAGCACATCAGCCTGTGATCTTTGATTTCTCCTTCAGATGAGGTTTGACCTGGAATAAACAAGACTAAATGAGTGTACAGGAGCATGAGTGCAGCAGTGGCTCAGTGGTCTGAACTTCAGCTCATGATCTGAAAGCTGCAGAATCGATTCCCTCCTCACATAAACCTGTACTGCATTTAACTAGGGGGAAAAGACAGAATTACTAAACACCTTTGAGTATGAGCTTTTACCTTTACTCTCTCTGCACCTCACACATATTAGTGTATTTATTATGGTGTGCAAAAACAAGAATATTCCACTCAAACGACCACATTCTCAATCTATTAATCTATCAAACACAGCAGAAGTTCATTTATTTGCATAAACACTAAGACATAGTGAAGGCCACGGATCTGAGACTGAGAATGCAGAGTATTTACAGCTCAATTATCCAGGCGCTGCTGAGTTACCGTTTAATGCTGAGGAGAAGCGGTGATCTGTGGTGTAATACTGCCATCTAGTGGCGGAGAGCGAGCAGCGCAGCGCAGCGGCGGGGGTTATTCAAATACTAGGCATTAATAGCTAGTGTGAGCACATCAGTGGCGCAGTGGTCTGATCATCAGCTCATGGACAGAGTTGCAGAGTTTGATTCCTTCTTTAGATGACGTTTAACCTGGAATAAAACAGACACAATTAACAAAACCATATGCGTGTACTGTAGTCTTGGTGGCTCAGTGGTCTGTGAGTCAGCCCACAATCCAAAAGCTTCAGGTTCGAGTCCCACTGAAGATGAAATTAGAGTTCTTCTGGATTTACCTGAAAAAAAAAAAGATAAAATTACCAGAAAGTCTGTAGCAAATGGTAGCACAGTGGTCTGTAAAGAGCCATACCAAGATAGGAAGGTCATGGGTTCGATCCCCAGGAGAATTAGGGTGGAGTTAAGATCCAGAGAGCTTTTCAGACGATCTCCATCAAGATGAGGAGTGAACTTTTAGCTCTCATTCTTCTAAAATATTCCAGAATCACCCAAGGGAGGGGTTACTGATTAGAGGGAGGGGCTAATTAAGAACAGCCAATTACATGTAGTGGATGATCCTTTAGGGGAGGGGCTAGTTAAGATCAGCCAATGAGTGGCTAGGGCGGTTGAGCTAATGCAATTCGGAAAAGGCAGGCTATTCAGACAAAGATAAGATTCAAAATTATTTATAATTTTTATATTTACAATAATAATAATAAAAAAATATATATATATATATGAAAGAAAAAAGGTTAATACATATTACAATGGAAAAACGTCTATTTCCATGCTTTCAAATTATAACTAATCTTTTCCTTTCCAATGATATTCATACAACTAAAACGTAGAAGAACCACTGCTGCTAAAATGATTATTAAAATAGTTTTGAGTACAGGCTAACAATATTCTTCACTGGTAAGCAGGCTGACCACTAATCAATCAGTAGTTTAGGATTTCTCAGTCAGTTTTATTTATCTTTCCCCTCAGAAGAGTCGATGAGAACTATAGTTTAGCTGGAAATCATGCAGACAAAGACACAACACCTAGTTTATTTTACACAAACACCGTGCATTACACACAAAGCATTCAAACAGATTGCTGAAAGCTTTGAGCCTGTGCAACTCAACCACACTCCAGTACTCCTCCAACACTTCACACGTCTCCGTTTAAACAAATGAAAATGTCTTCACATCATTAGTGCAGACTACAAGACTTTAAACGCAGAATGAGACATGCAAAATGTGCAGTGCTGGAGGGAGCAGCATGATGGCTGAGAAACACGGCTTTAAACCAAAGCATGGGTCTGACACCGCAATCAGACAGGCACACGAGTCCATGTGGATTCCAGTTCTCCTGCATCCCTGAAGCTCAATGATCCAGACATCCACTGAGAAAAAGAAAACAGAGGAAAGTCCCAGATTTCAGCATCAGCCCATTTAATGTGCACACATGCAATCATGCTTTCACATTCAAATAATGCTAATAAATAAAATAAATAAATAAATGCTTTTAATTCAAACGACTTAAGGTCATAATTGTCAGGTTTAACAATCCTCAAAGAGTCCAAAATCATGTTTCACATCTGACACCAGATTACTGACTTAATTACAACAGGTCTACACGCTAAAGAAATTAAATAACCAGATTTACAAAGTTTAAGGTAAATGGCTGCAAAACAAATTAAGCTGAAGCTTACGAAATAGTTTAAATCCTGCCCAAATAAATGTTTTGTAATGACCCATCTTGACTTTAGTAAAGCCAGGGAATCCATTATTTTCCGTTCAGCTTGTCTACAACAGTAACTGGATTAAACTGGCTATAATTTTAATTATTGAAGACTGAATTAACACTAATTTAATACTAAATAAATGTCATGCTTGTCTCAATATCCCTATAAAAAAAAAAAAAAAAAAAAAAAAAAATACCTGAAACACTTTGAACTGACCTTACCTCGTGCTCGTGTCTTCACACTGACAACCCTCCCGCGCGGAGAGCTCGCAGGTGTCGCATATTAATCACGTTGACAGCCAATGGCATTACTGCTTCTGAATTAGCCCCGCCTACTATTAACAGAAACATGCTTCAGGAAGTTACTCTTATTCGGTTTAATGGCAGCTAAAAACAACGTTTAAAGAGTATTATTGTGTAGGAGTGAGAACTAGTTTGTCTATTTTAAAATAAAATAAACTAAAGAAAAATGACCACCTGTATTTTATTATTTCAGCTTGCGAAAGTTCCTACTCGTCTCTGCTTATGAAGTGGTGGAAAAACTCACCACATGGGAAAGTTTTATTGTTGGAAAGACCAAAAATACACTTATGTTTTGGTACATTATCATACAAGTGTTCACCATGCCGGAAAGCTGCTTCTGCTGTTTCAGTCAGACACACTGCCTTCACTGTTTATTAAACGAAGTATGAATGAAATCGATCACACAAACATGATCTACAGTAAAAATCAAGCTGATATCAACTCTGTTAATAGCTGAAACAAGCTAAACATCTTCTTTTAATCATCATCATGTTCATACACACTGTGTGTAATTACTTGAACCTAATTTAAATGGTTTAAACTAGTGCTGTTAAATGATCAATCGCCACACTGTACATAAACACATTTACATATTTATATAGAATTACAAACATACAACACATTTTGCAAATAGCTTTATTTTGTATGAAATCCCGATTAATCTTCACAGCACTAGTTTAACCCTTCATCATGACAGTGTCTTAAAGCCAGCCGAAACACTTCTGCAAATCTTCCCCCTTCTGTCATGCGTCATGTCCATCTCATCCCGAGCCGATCGCGAGGGCAGCAGTCTTAGGACAGAACTTCAGACTTCCCTCTCCCTTTTTGCATTTAACAAAACTCTCAAAATGACTAGCCAAGACACACACAGTTGATTCCTGTCTTTATTGATCCGCACTGTGACAAGCACAAACATACACCTTTTAAAAGAAAGTGTTTGGTCTCTTGGTGGTGAAGCGGGGCTTGTGCTGGCGGCGCAGAACCCTGTGAGGAAGAGGAAACTTGATCTTGGAGTCCTGCAGAGAAACACAACACACATTAAACAACACCGCATCACACACACACACACACACACACACACACACACACACACACACACACACACACACACACACACACACACACACACACACACACACACACACACACACATATTAAATCTTCCACAAACTTACGTGGAACTGCTTGATGGCGGGTCTGCGGCATTTGTTGGCAGCGATGACCTGCACCTTCATGATCTGGATGGCGTGAGCACGAGCACGATGCCTGGCACCCATATCACGATCTAAGTGCACACACACACACTAACATTAATACACCGCAAACACTTAAACGCAGCACAAACTCACACTAATACACACAAAAACAGTTAAATAAAAACACATTAACAGCAGAAACACACTTTCATACACACGCTAACAGCTTAAACACACTAATACACACAAACACACTAATACAAACACATTAATAGCAGTTAAATACACACACACACACTTCAATACACATGGATTAATTGCTTAAACACACACTGTTTCTTCTGTTATGCATGTTACAACAAATAAATGAGCTGTTTAGCTAAATTAATTGACAGAGCCGAGTGTTTTATATTGATTGAGGTGATTTAGTAAGACAGTTCATCAGTATAAATGAAAGTGTATGATGATTTCCTGAAGAGTATAACCGTATTTAGGCACAGAATTTTAATAATCGAATGCAAACAGACACCGCATGGCCTTCATAGTATAATAGCGCAGAAATTAAATGCAAATAATTTGTTATTAAGCATTATAATTTATTATACACAAACGTTTTAAATGCAGTTGAATCTTTCAGTTACAGGCCTTAAATACAGCGCAAACTAAACACTTTACATTGATGTTAAACTCCTGCTTCACTTTATTCACACCCGCATTTCCTAAAGGACGAGGATTAATAGATGATGAGTGTGATATCGATGCAGAAGTGAAATGTTCTGCGGGTCTAAAACACACAGGATCAGATGTGGCTCCTTGAATTCACTTTCAGAGGCACGTCAACACACAGCCCATGAAAGGCGACAAGGTTCCTTTTTCTTTGCGCACACATAGCAAGGGCAAGACATGATGGAGAGATGACCTTTGGGTTTGTGTGCAGATTATCACGGACTGGAACGCATTACACCGGGACAATGTGAGTTTTGCGATATCTATATATTGTGATGGGACAATTCTGAAGAGCTATATTCACTTTATATATTTTTATTAGGATATTAGGAAAGATAAAGCAGAAATATGAGCTGAAAACAGGCGATGCTGCAGTGCTTGCAGATTTTGAAACATTTAAAAAAAAAGTCATACAAAATTAATTCAGATTATATAATTGTTTGTTTTTGTTTAATGCCATGCCAGCTTCTACGGCAGTTTTCATTGTGGAAAAAAAAGCATATTAAATATATAAAAACATTGAAAATATAGAACTCTATAAACACATTAGGATTAACAGCATTAAAAATCACTTCATGAGCATGAGCATTGTGTAATAAAATAAAATTATTATTAAACATTATCTATTTCAGCATGCAGGATTGTCATTTATGTGCATTCCTCATTTATTTATGTGCTGATCGTTCAAAAAATCGATAAATTGCAGAGTTTCTGCAGGTTTCAGCAAATTAAATTCAAGGCCCTGTTTACACTAATGCGTTCTCGTTTTAAAACGCATAAGTTTTGCTACAGGTGCGGAAAACGGAGCGTTTTGGAAACACCGGAGAGGCCATTTTCATTCTAAAGCGCTGCTGCTCTGTCTCAGTGTGGATGGGGGAAAACGGAGGCGGGGCTGCAGACATTCTCCTCTCTGATTGGGGCTTTGCCTCAATATTAAGTAGCCTAACACACACAGTTCAGTCCTGCATCCTGTCCATGCAAGTTCAGACTTGGCCAGTTTGATCAAGGCTGCAGTCTCCCCCTCCTCAGTTTGATATGGACAATAGACTACAGAGGACACGGGGAAATCTTTAAAGGGAACAGTGTACTTTGTCTTCATTCACATCACCCTGGTTATGTTGTTTCACTTTCTCAGCAATAAAATATAAACATGATTCAAGGAACTGCCTATTTTCATTTTAATATTAGCAACTTAGACAGCAGAAATGTTGAGGCGTTGTGCTGCATATATGAGCATCATCTGCGCGGTGTGGCCGATAACAACTGCCTCCTTTCAATTTCAGTGAAAACACTAAACATCCCCTCTCTTCTGCTGAATATCAGTTTTAATAATCGATATTGGCCATTATAACAGTATAACATGCACTAAGTTTGTACATTATAGGAAATGAAGGCAAGCAATTACTATATATATAGATTATAGGCTATGTGGTTCCATTAATTAACTTATCTTTGCGATTAGCCAAAACACGTTACCTGAGAACAAGTAATAGATTACAATGACTAAAGTCAGGGAATATGTCGTTAGATAAAGACAACAAGATGAATGAAATATCACGTTTAATACATACAGTGAGATTAGATCCAGCGGGAGATGCTTGATGGAGTCTGAACGAGCAGAGCTCTCATCTGGGTAGATAGGCTGCTGCGCTTGCCCGAGTGTGTGTGTGTGGTCACGTGGTGTGTTTACAGTGTTTTGGTGTAGAGATGGAGAGCTGTTCAGAAACGCTAGTGTGTATGCGAATCGTTTTCATTCTAAAACGCCGCTTTAAAACTAAAACGCACTCGTGTAAACAGGGCCTCAGTCTTTTAAAGACCTTTATGAATGAAATTTTAGACTCACACACGGCTTAACAGTAAGGAGTTTTTTTTTAGATGAGCCCAGTTGGAAGTTTTAATTGCCTTATCAAACTTTTTGTTTTAAATAATAATTTAATAATTAAAAAAAATAAATGGTTTAGTTAATTCTGAGCCAAATATTGTGTCAAAACAAGCAAGCTCTAGTTATATACTTAGTCTTTTTTCAACAATCTGCTTATATATATATATATATATATATATATATATATATAATATTTTAGGTTTTAAAAACACACATGATGCACAACATCATGTAGAGGTCAGCTTCCTCAGCAGTAAATACATGGAAAACATTTCAGAAAGAGTTATTGTGAGGAAAATAACTAAACCACTATGGTAAATAGTTAAAAACTACAATATTAAATAGAAAGAAGTTTTATTTAGATGGATTGTTGGTGAGGTGTTGGCTGATTGGGTAGATCTACATGAACAAAGGAAAGATGAGACCTGCTTAAAGAATTAACACCTCCAACACAACAGTTCAGTAGATTTAAGACTTATTAATGCCTAAAATTGTGTTTTTGAGATTTAATGACATTAAGCCCCCGCTGACACCCTAAAACAGCTAATAGATACTGATCAAAATCCAATTCAGGCTAAAATAAGTGCAAACATTCAGCCTTTAAAACAATGAATGAGTGTAAATTATACAGATACTCAGTCTCTGATTGGCTCATACGAGTTTCTCTCGTGCTATTTTTTTTAACACAAGTACATTTATATGCATTTGATTATGTATTAAATCATCTACAAATCAACAACTAACATCTGCTGCTGAGAAGCCCAGAAATGTGAAAAGGGTCCATATAAATGTAGTGTACTGCACCTCTCTGTGATACACACTCTATTATTGCAATTCTACAGGGTGCAGCCCTATCTAGGTGTGTGTGAAACTCACAGCACTGGGTGACGGCTCCAGACGTGGTCAGATCTCTGTACTCGCGGTACATGTTGTGGGTTCCACTGCGGGAGTCGTAGCGCAGCCAGATGCCAAAGTTCTTCACCTTCAGGGGAGATTTCTCAAAGACCTGCGCGGTAAACAAGACAACTCGAGATTAAACGAGTAACGAGCTGACAAATCAACATTAATTAATGCATTAATACAGGATCAGATGTGGCTCCTTGAATTCACTTCCAGAGGCACGTCAACACACAGCCCATGAAAGGCGACAAGGTTCCGTTTGCTTTGCGCACACATAGCAAGGGCAAGACATGATGGAGAGATGACCTTTGGGTTTGTGTGCTCGTATTATTAAATCCTGCAACACTTTGAGGTTCCTGTACAATCAGCTTACACTGATATAAGACAGCCTGAATAAATCACAGCTCCTGGAATCTTCTACTCAGTTATTTCACACACTCGACTGGTGTTATGAGGTGAATTTAGTATTGGTATTTGTAAACAAGCTCAAACATGCAGAATTATCCCACTTGCTCTACTGTAATCAATCAATTCACAGACTAATTGTAGATTAACGTTATGATGCAAACACTAACGCATTGCCCATCCTCACACCTCGGGGAACAGAGTATATACAGCTAGCACATGGATCATTCATCAGCATTTGTTCGAGTGAAAAGGCATTCGCACCAGGCCGCAGTAGACGATCTCTCCAGAGGCCTTCTTCATCTTCCTCAGCTGGGAGACGAAGTACCAGAAGCGAGACTTTGCCACCACATGGTTTGGGGCGAAGATCCTCATGCGGTACAGAGGAGGTGCGGGGTTTTTCACTGAGGGCAACAGACGCCCAACAACCTTATATTCCCGAAGCTGGAGACACAAACACAGCATTACACTTCACATCTGACAACAACACACAGAGACAAGCACACGCTGTACAGAGGAGAAACTCGACATGCAAATGAGAACGCCATGATTTAAGGTTTTAGTTTTGTTGTTTAAATATCAAAATGGACGACCACTACGATAATTAAATCGTACACTCCAACAAGTGCACTTAGAAGTGATTAAAAAGGCTGCTTTTGAAGTTGGAAACCTCAATGTCATTTGATAATTTCTAATAAATTCAGCATTTTTCTCTGACTTCTGTGTGTTCGCTCAGAAATTTCACTTTTATAGTGACGATTAAGTTTTATTGTCTTTAAAGTGAAACACTTGAACATGAGGCTGTGTAAAATGCTCACTTTAGGACACAATTTCAGACGGCATTTGGAGGTTTTGGCATCTTACATTTAAATTCAGTCATTTAGCAGACGCTTTTATCCAAAGCGACTTACAAATGAGGACAAGGAAGCAATTTACACAACCAAGAGCAACAATGAATAAGTGCTATAGGCAAGTTTCAGGTCTGTAAAGTCTAAGAAGGGAAGTATTAGTATTATTAGTATTTTTTTTTTTGGTACAGTTAGTGTGATATTCAGAGAGGCAATTGCAGATTAGGAAGTGTAGTGGAGACTAAATAGTTGGGTTTTTAGTCGTTTCTTGAAACACTTCAGTTAACTCTTATCTTAACTCTTCAGTTGTCACCCTAATTTACTAAAACCCTTTTGTTTTTTAAATCAAGTCTTAATACTAATTTATAATATTTGGCTTTTAACACATGAGCCTTACATCAGTTTATTAGTCCTTTGCTTTAAATGGTGTACGCTTGTGCTGCACTTTGATAAACACGTTTATAAAAGCGTTTCATACACAAACAGCGACTTATTGAAATAAATTATTAATAAGGCATTTTTAAACTAGTGCCATTTCTCTTTTGTTAAATGTTTAAGTTCACTAGAGATCAAACAAGCAGGAGTATCTTTAACTCATGAATAATCTGAACTGCTTTTGATTCAACTTTGAACTGAGCATTATTGAAGTGTAATATTAGAAACAATTGACACTGTGCTCTTATATTATAATTAAAATGTACACCTGCTGCAGAGTGCCTGGCACATCTCAGATGTGCATTAATCTGCTTACACTGTTCAAATTATGCATTTGAGGATTTATTGGCCAGGTTTTTATCTTAATACTACTACGTGTAGGATTAGATTCCTCCACATCTCCCCTAAAGCCTTCTCTTGTGTTTTGACACGATTTTCTTTGTATATTTGGCAGTAAAATAGCGTAATTTCGATGTCGGTAAAGGTGTTGGAACACAAGAAATAAAGTTTATCTATACTAATAACTCTTATTAAAGTCATCCGACAATAAAACACGCAGAATTGTTCTTTAAAATCCTCAACGCTAACCTAAACACGTCTATTAAAGCGAACTATTACTACGAATACACCAGGCCTCACGTTAAATCAACGATGATGGGCGACATTAAAATAACATTTAAGACAATCCGCCGTCAAGTTAAAGTGCACAATCTCACGCAAAACAAATTAAACTGTGCTTAAACGCGTGTTAAAAAGCGAAATCACAGCAATGTTTTAATTGTGTGCGCTTGTCTAACAGCACATGGGGATCCTCCAGCCGCCATGTTGCTCACTCCGCTACATCAACACGTCAAAGCACATTTAACGCTATAATTTTGCACACAGATCAGCTGAAGCCGCCGTTATGCACATCTGGGTGTCTTATACGCATTTTCGGGTCTTATTTGTGAGGTTTAATCGACTGTAAGATGATTTAAGAATAGTTTTACGTACTGTGCCAGACGCCTTCATGGTGTCTCACGCCGACGGCCACTGTGAAAGAGGAAGCAGCAGGGCGGAGACTCCTGACGTCAAGCCTCTTCCGAAAGGCGGGACTTGCTGGAGCCGTCTTCATTAGCCATCCAGAATGTCAATCATGGAAATGATTGGTCTCGTTAAAATTTAATTAAAATAAATTAATAAATGTAGGTTATATAAATGTATAATAATTATTATTATTATCGTAATTAATTGTAATGTGTGTGATGTAATTTGCTGTATAATATTTATCATTTAAAACTACAATTCATTTACAATAATGTAACAAAAACGAAATAATACAAAAAAACAAAAACAAATATTAGTTATTAGTTATAGTTAGGCTATAATTTTTATTAAATAAATTTCTTTGTATAAAATGCATAATATTTATAACATAACAATATTTAGCGGTCAATCATAGATATTACAGGTCTCGTTTTTAATTTAAAATTAGTTTATAAATATTGAAGAATATAATCATAATTAAATGTAATGCATTCAATGCAATTTAATATATACTATTTATTATATATAAATATTAAATATTCAACATCAAAGCTAAACATTTGGGTATAAATGTTTATGGTTTCCTCGTCTAATTTACAAAAAAAGTCTCTAAACATTTTTGCAGCAACTTGTTTTCACTGTATACATTAAAGTAATCGGGTTATAAGTCACTGCTTTATACATAATGCTTACTTTATTGATGGGTAAATTTCAAAGTGTTTTCCATTCAATCTGCTCAAACAAGGTTTGCATTTTGGCAAAAACGTGGCTCTGCATAATGATTTAGCATTCTGTCATACCTGACATTTTTACGACGCGTTTATTTACATTTATTTACTTATTAATTTTACTTTAAACACGCATGCCGTACGTTTTCTGTGCGTCACGACGTAGGCAACGTATTATTTCCATGACAACCACTCGGGCTGACGACAACAAGCAAACATGGACGACGATCAGACAGTAGAAGAGGTAAAAGATGTGCAGGATTAAATAAATATGTAAATGCTGAAATCTTCATAGTGCTGCAGTAATACGGCGTTTGTCTTACGCCTGTGTTTATTGTCGTGTTTTCCAGAGCGCGTTTATAGTGGACGAAGTGAGCAGCATCGTGAAAGAGGCGAGTTTCTTTTTCTCAGACGATGATGATGCTGATTCATGTGTATTTAATGTGTTTAATGTCCACAAAATGTGTGTTTTATGTGTGGTTTAATGTCTGAGTGGGTTATGAACTGTTTTGGGGTGAACGCGGCTGTTGCTAGAAGGGATACAGCTGCGGCCGAGAGATAACGATAATTATTTATATTGGTAATTAAATTACCTGTTAGCTGTATTTTATTAACATCTACCCCTACCCTAAGCTTAACCCAGACTATCACAGTAATGTTAAAACACTAAATATACCGAGTATTATTCGTATTCTTTTTACATCACCAATTAAATTGTATTTTATTGACGTCTACCCTAAACCGACCGCTCTTTGCAATGTAAAAACAGCAATTATACAGAGAATTATTCATATTATTTGTAAATTACACATTAATTGTTTATTAATAACGTCTAATCCAATATCAACCTTCTCAGTAACGTAAAAATCTGATTTATTGTTGTATAGTGTCACAAAAATATGCTATATTGATGTATTTGCAGCTGTATCCCTTTTAGACTGTACTGGTTGACACATTACAAGTTACAGGAGTCTCGCACTTTAATCTGATTACTTTAAAGTAAATATAAATAACGATAATATCTGCATTTAAAGTCTTCCCAGTTACTTCTCTAATGTATTGTCTTTCAGCTCTTCTGTGCCCATGTTTCATATAATATTATTATTATTAACATGCAAAACAATCCAACAAAAAGCGTATAGATTACATGGACAATATTCAGTAACAATCACATAAACAAGAGCAATACAGAGGAATAAAGACCACACATTAGAGTTAACTGTGTGTGTTCAGTCTCTAGAAGCGGTGATCGGCAGAAACATGTATGAACACAATCGTGTGAGCCAGTGGACGTCCAGTGTGGCGGAGCAGTGTCTCGGGCAGCTCAGCAAACTAGGCAAACCCTTCAAATACATCGGTGAGAAACCTGTAGTGGGGCTGTGCAGTATCTGCTGAGGTTAGTGTGCTGATCATCTGCTGTTTCTCCTGCAGTCACGTGCATCATCATGCAGAAGAACGGCGCTGGCCTTCAGTCGGCCTCCTCCTGCTTCTGGGACAACACCACAGACGGTGAATCGCTCTATTACTGTCACTACTGTTGAATGCTTGATTCTGATTGGCTGATGGGCACTTTAAGGTTTATTGTCAGATAAAGGCACAGCTAAAGTAGTTCCGGCAGGTTCAGACAGCACTACAGCTCCATATCACTCCGCTGAATCATTTGTTATTTAAAAAAAAAATCACATCCAAAGTGTTTAGCAGGTACGGGCCCTGTGACAACATTCTGGTGATGGCTGTGTTTGATTGGGCCCCTATAGTAAATCTAAGGGCCCCTAAACGGCCCCATGGTCTTTAGTATTGAATTACTAGTTTACCTGCACTACTGTAATGGGCTATATGAATGAGGAGTTTTTTATTTGCACTTCTGGTGAACTGTCCTGCCATTACAGGGTAAATACAGGAACCAGAGAGTGAAATTCAGTACCCTTTAAGACCTTTAAGACTCTTTAAATACTAATAATTTAACCACTTTTTAACCGGAAACACTGGCAAGACTTTAACTTACAATATATTTACTAAATATAAATGTAAGAAACTAACCTAAAACTGAAACGTCATTCATATACAGAATTAAAATCTATTACATCTAGCTAATTCCGCAGGTTGGCGCCTATAGAAGCGCAGGAGTGATGGTATTGCCTTGATTACTGCAGTATACAAAGCAGCATGATGTCAAATCTAGCAGGATTTCATTGATTTCATTAACTACACAGCATCCTGATATACGCAGATTTAATTCAGGCAAACTTTAGCACACAATTAAACCTTGCCAAATCAAAAATGATCTAAAATTTAATTAGCAATGAGACGATAACCGTTTTCAATGTATACTGCACTTTGGAAAAGTCAAGGTTTTAAAAATGCTTTACAGTTCCTAAGG